ACTTTTCAGAGTAGAAAAGTGCAAAGTGCCTTGATCCTTTTGTTGTAATGATGCTCCACTGTCAATCAGTTCTCGTTTCTCTCCATTTCCTACACTGGCTTCAGACACAATAAATCCCAACAGATTTACAGGTATTAAACCCAACCGTTTAATACTGCAGACCTTTACAAAAGTAGGATAAGGAGATCTGACTCCATCCTTTCTTGTCACGAAGGCAATACAGACCTCCTTAAATGCCTCCGGTCTTGATCAGCCCCAGATTTTGACCTTTAATTTGTCACGTAGACCTCCAGCAAAGGTCCAATACTAAACTGGAAGGTGGAGAAAATAATTGGCTCTTTTCCTTGGCACTGACGTTAACGTTTGCTGTAGCTTCAGATGTGACAACATACAGCACTGCCTTGAGTTCTCTTATACCTACCACTGCTGGATATTTTAAGGATTATTTGTAAAAGCACTGGACAGCAGAAGTGTGCTACTGGCAGAGTTGCCAGCATGGCTGTGGGTTTATCACAAATGCCGAATACCAACAAGAAAATAAATAAAAAGACCATCTTATTTTTATTCAAACAAAGTTGCTTCATAAAGTTCATGACAAGTGAAAACTATTCCAAAATGCCACATCTAGAATACGAAGAGACTCTCCAAATGCCCTAAGATGAGGTTTTCCCAACTCAACAGGTTTCTTGAGAAAGAACCTGCACCAGATTTAACAAATGGCCTCTGTTGGACCGCATGGGGAAAGAACACACACTCCAGGACTGCAGAGCCTTATCCTGAAAGTTTCTGGCTCTGGAGCATGTGGCAGGGATCCAGTGAGTCCAGTTTCTCAGACCTGCATCAGCTCTTAAGATGATGCCAAGAAGGCAGTGATGCACATGCAGCCTAGAGTACGTGCTGCTTTACAGGACAAAGCTAGTCCCTTGAAGTTAGCTAGAAATCTCCAAGGCTTTGCAGGTGGGAGATAACGGATGACATGTTCAGGCTTCTTGGTTGCAAAACAGGAATATTCTGCTCTAATGAAGTTGAACTCTCTCTGAGAGCAGACCCATGTGGATGCTGCTTAGTAATCCTGTCTGGAGGCGTCTACAGTTAGCTGAACAAAGGCTGGCGGAGAGGGATGTGCTTGCTTGGACAACAAGAAAACAAGACTGTCCTTCAGCAGGGAAGCCTGTGCTGGAGTGTGATAGCCATTGTCTATCGGGGAAGAAAGGTGCTTTAGGAAAGAAACACTCCCCCTCCCTTGTTTTCATAAGACTACCTAAAAAAACCTCAAAACCCTCTTTGTAGTAGTTCAATAAAAACTCCACGCTGCTAATGATTAAAAATGATCGTTACAAGCACGACTTGAAATGGAAACTAGAAACAAAAGCAGATCAATAAAATGTGAGTGCTCCAGCTTTGCTTATATGAGATTTTTTCCCCCATATGTACTTTTCTTACCTATAAAACTACTCTTTCAGTCCTGTGCCTTGTCCATGCTTATTAGTGTGAAAGAGGAAATAGTGTACTTCCATAGCACAAGCACTTAAGATGTTGTTTCCAAGAGACATTTAGGATATAGGTAACTATATTGCTGGTATGTCTTAAGTAGTTACTGTTTGACAGCATATGACAAAAAGAATGAATGGAAGGAGGAAGTAGAAATAGTACAGCACTGAAGGTATGAAAAGTGCAGGCTGGGATTTAATTAGAAATTGAAGCCTGATTGAAGGGCTTGGCGGTAGGTGGAAGATTCCCAACAAAAAACATCACAGTCTCTGTCGTTGCCTGCGCTGATAGCAATGCGTAGCCTCTTCCTTGGCTTGCAAGACAGTGCAAGAAACTGTACAGTCACTCAGCTTTTCATGGAAATGAGTCGACTTAAGTGGGAGAGGAAGGGAGACTGAAACACTCAGTCCAAAGGAGACACCTGTAACATGTCCTAAAACAATACTCTCCTAATGCTGCAATCTTTGCCTAGTAGACTTTTTCCAAAGATTTGTTGCTTTTATGTTTTATCTCTTACCCTGTGCTGGGTTGAGTAATCTAATGTCGGAGGTAGCTGTGCTCTGAGCGGGGTTCAGGCCATGTGACCTGCTGGGATCCTTCCCAAACTAAATTATTCCTTGATTCTGTGAAACTGTTTGGAAACAAGGGTGACAGTTCTGGGTCTGACACGTGGCATGGAGTCTGACAGTTCCACGTTCCCAGAAACCCATTGATGGCTGGGCTGGCAGAGGGCTGCAGAAAGGCTCCAAGAGGAGCGGCGTTGACTATGAGGACCATGGCTGGTGGCCAGCACTGCAAGGGCTTTGAAACCTTGGACTTCCTGTGGGAAGCTGGGCACTAACTGTGAGACTATTCAAAGGTACAAGTGCTTATGCATTAGCAAGGAAGACCGTTTCTCTTGGTCAGTGTGTAAAGAAGCTCCAGACAGTAAGATTTGAGTTCTACTTCAGATGGGAAAGCAGGAAGTTGCTTGAGCCTTGATGTCGAAAGCAAACAGGAACAACCTGCAGAATACCAGCCGAGCTGCTGAGGGTCTTCTCTTCAACGTGGACACCCATCCCCTCATAGACCTGTTTGCCAGCTGGGCTAATAAGAAGCAACCCTGCACATAAGCATATGGCTTTGAGGAGAGGTTGTTTCAAATATAATAAGGTTGGCAAAAGGCAGTCAGAAAGTTCAGATAAAAGGGTAATGTGATGAAAGTCTCTGAAAACAGAACTGCTGCGAGTGCTTAAGTGGGAAGAATATAGTGATATTGAAGCTGTGACAGGTTGCTGCTGCCAAAGGACAATGATATGTTCCTTATTGCTAGTCTTTGAAGCAGACAACACTGAATGGAATGAAGTTTTGGGGAGTAAACACAAATGGTCAAGGACAGATCAGAGTTGTGATGCAGAGGAGTTCCTGAAATGACACTGTGGAACTCTGTTCTTTCATCAGCACCACATGATTCGTTTGCTGGTTCAACAGGTCACATTGATCTTCACATGTCACAACCGCAGACCTCAGCTGGTCTCTTTCTGGCTTGTGCATTATCAACAGAATTGCAGTTTTGCAATGGGATCTTAATTTCTCAATTCTGTTGATGTGAGAGCCAAAATCTATGCTATTCATCAGTTGCATTAACTCTACAAGGCCAACAAAAATGAGGAAAAGTGTAAATAAACTAATAAGAACAGATAGTAGTGGCATGCAGCATCTCAAGACAAGAATATAAAATGTTTGCTTTAGTGCTTTAGCTGCCTGCAGTAAAGCAGTTTTACTGGTCTGTCCAGCAAAATGTTTTTCTCTTCCTGGATACGGGAGGCAGGTGCCCCTCCAGCTTGTAGCCTCTGTGGATGATTTTAAGAGGAGGCCCATTGATGCTTTTTAGAGCCTTTTGTGGAAATGATACCTGTGGAAGGAGGGGAGGTGGTATATCGTGTGCTGAGTCGTGTTTGCTGAACTGTGCCCTCACATGATCAAAACCCTTTCAAAAGCTGGTGTGACTTCTTAGGAGAAAAATGCAGCATGGGGTCTTTTCTGTTGAGAAACTTAAGTGGTAGGAGGCGGTTCTACTTTTAGAGTTATATTGCTGCTGTAATATGGATGCTCAGGTGGGGGACCACAGACCCAGTGTTGGGAGGTACGGCTCCGACTGGGGTGCTGCATGGTGGGGAAGTGCTGGTGCTCCCCCACCTCCCCAAACAGACTGAGTCTCCTTAAGAACTTAGCATGGGACTTTTCTTCGTCGAAACTGCTGCCGTACATCATTTGCTCAGTGAGGTGGTCCATAATATGAAATGGACTTTGTATTTTGTTCATATGGTGACTCCGTAGAGACTTGGGAGAAGTGTGACCGTGGTGCACTCACATTAAATAGAGGAACAGTGGAGTTCAGCAAGCGTTGGGATCCACCAATGTACATTCCTGTAGTCTGCTGGTTTCGTTTGCTGCTCTTCCTAACTGGTTGTGTTTTGTTGTGCTTTTTTTTTAAAAAAACGGGGAGGAGGGTGTTGTGTGGGTTTTTGAAAGGTGGTACTTAGAAAATGAATTCTTTCAACACATCTTTCAGTATAAACCTCCCCACGTTTTCTTTGCTTTCCAATTTATTTTAAGTGAAAGAAAGTGAAAATTTTAGACCTCATTACAGATTTGTTTGTAACATCAATGTTTTTTATTAACATTTGTTTGTTTCTTAAGATACTGTGTAGTGTCTTCTAACTTCCAGGATGCCCCAAAGCCTATTAGAGAGTATACAAATTGCAAACTGTAAAATGCTCTGTTCTCCTGTGTTTTGTACTTTTTCCTACCCTTGTTTTCATACTAGCAGGAAAACATGGGCTTTTGTGAAGCATGCACCACGTGGGGGACTGAGACCTCACACCCTAGTCCTTTTGCATCTTAAGTGTCCTGAGGACCTGCTGGGTGATACAGTACAGCTGATTTGGCTCTGCTGCTGGACTACTTCGTTACTCCAGGAAGAAGTCTTACAGGAATGCTGATCTTGTATAAAGCATGTGGCTAATTATGAAGGAATCATTTTAGATTGGAATCTTGCAGGAACATATTGTAACTGTCATTTAGATCTAAATGAATCCAAGCAGCCTTTTTTCAAATCATAATGTTCCATTTAAGAATGCATTTCCTCCACTTGGCATTCAGCCCCAGTAATGCAGCGATATTGTGTAAAATGTGGAACAAATGACACCTCTTCATTAAGAGAATGCCTGGCTCCCAAAATGGGATACCTTCTAATGGAAAAGGAAAGGGATGATGAGAAGCCATCATCTAGATGACTAGATGCTAAAGCAATATAACTCATGAGTTTGGAGATACGGAGTTTTCTTCTGAACAGTTCTTTGTGGTTTTTGGTGATACTTAGCTGTATTTTAACTTCTTTATGTATTTTAGAGTTTCCCAAGACTGTAACTTGTGACTTTTCAAATGCTTGCAGATCACTGAGTAAAAGATTACGTTTACAGAAGATACTGACAAAGCATCTTAAAAGTGTGTTTGTTTAATTTTAGGACAAGGAAACCTGCATGGGTGTCAACAATCAAAGTTACATATGTGAAACGGGCCACTGTTGTGGACAATCCCAGTGTTGCAACTACTACTATGAACTCTGGTGTAAGTCCTTCCATTTTGTATGGCTTCCCTTCCTAATCTGCATGGCTCTCATACCGTACTACAGGTCTGGCTTGTGTCCTGTGGAGTTTTGTATTCAGCCCTTGTTATGCATTGCTATTGCATTTCACTGCAACGCAAACTGGAGTTGACCTGATACAGCAAGGGAAATAGGGTTGTTACAGTGGGCATTGCCTCCTTTTTGAGGAGCAATGGCTCATCTTGTCATGTCCCTGACTGGAGATTTGTTGTTTCGTCTTCTCACTCATTTGGGCAATACTGAGGGTACTCAGAATAACATTATGTGCAAGTGAGGAAACCACGCTTGACGGAGAAATGCCGATAGGCACAACACTAGAGTTTGACACAAACAGAGAAGTAATTCAGTATCTATCTTCTTAGTGTTTTAGTTCTTTGCAAGAACAACAGTTGAAATCTAATTTATCTTTTTAAAGCTGTCCTTTCAAGGAGTGTGTGCATTCTCCTCCGGACGCATTTGGAGCACAGCTCCTTGGGTGGAGAAGGTCTTGGGCAAAACTTGTGGGCTGACAGTGGCTGAACACTGTGGTCTGTGAGGAGTGTGCCCATTGCAACCCCCTCTTCTTTCCCAAAATCTGGGATTTAAAACTGCCTATGTTTCTAGTGAGTGGTTGAGTGAATATATCTGCTAAGTTCCTTTAAACAGCAGCAGGCAGGTCAAAGGAGGTCAGCAAAACTTTGATAAAGATATATGGAAAAAATGGGAAGTTGAAAGGATAGAAAAGTAAGAAATGATGAATTTTAAAGGCAAACTTACAGAGCTGTGCTGATCTGATGGTCTCATCCTTTCATGAGGAGGAGCACAAAGGGTTGAACGCTGATGTTGACATGCTGTTGTACTGCCAGGAGCCTAAGCTGGGAAAACATCTGTGCTCCCAGAATTTGGAAATGTGGAATTCTAAACATTGTACCCCCACAGTCGAGACTAAAGATATTTTCTTACCACACCCAATGGTATCTTGTAGCTTTTATGCAACTGTGCTATCTACATCTAGTTAATCCCTCTGCTGTGCCCACAGTTTCACTTTCTCAAAGTAGCGTGTGTGTGTGGAAATGTATTATGCATACAAAGAGTGTCACTTAACCTGGATCCAAGGACAGGAATAGCTGACATTTCATCCTTTAGTCTAGAAACATGCTTTTACTTTTTAAATGAACCAGTGAAGCATGGAGGACGTGGCTGTAAATTAAATAGGACTCTATTAGAGTCCTTCAAGATACACTGTGCGTCAGACTGTAGTGGCTGGCTGTGTTAATACTAAAGGCAGGATTTGAATATATTGCAGACCTTTCAGAGGAGGTTTATTTTCAGAAGGCTCCAAACAGTTCAAGAAATGAATCAAGACCTGGGGGAGCAGCTCCAGAAACCCTAGCAGGGTGAGAAACAGACATGAATGTGTGGCTGCCTTGAACTGCCTAGTTCAGATCATAGCAGTCAACAACACAGGCAGGAGAGGTGGCTGGAATTTGTTCGGGCTATATGGGATGCATGGACAAAGCAGAGTGGGGAAGGTCAGACCCGGGTTTGGATTTGTGTGGATGGGAATGTAGAGGAAGAGGCATGTATGCAAGGGCTTACAAACTCTTTGGCAAGCAGGATCTAAATTAAGCAGCAGCATGGAGTACAGCTGCACACTGGAGCTCGTTGCACAGTCACCATGTTTCTCCCATGGATTTCTTGAAAGAGATGCGAGTCTGAACAATAGTCTCCTACCGTTGTAATGGAATGGTTTTACTTTAACTGTCTTTTATGGCACAGACTTTTACACTTGGCAGTGCCTGGCTGCATCATAAAAGTTCTTGGAAGATAAAACCAATTTTGTTAGGAGGAAGCAGAATATTTCAGGCTTCTTTCTAGGGGGAAGCACACTGGTCACGCTGAGATCGTGGAATAAACATTAGTGGCACACACTGCTAGATGGTTCCTCTGGAGGAATGGGTTTCTGTGTTGAGATTCACATTTGTTCTGCGTTGCAGGGAACATCATCTGCCACACTGAGATGAGGGGAATAGTGCAAACATGAGACCTATTCTTCTAGACTTTCTGCAAATTCAGGCAAACATCCAACATTGATTTAAAATCTGTTAATATTTTCAAGGCTTACTTTGCCATTATGAGCATTAGCAAAAGGTTTCTGGGACTGGGAGGGGAGACACAGGGAGGCATGTCCTTTAAATTTAAGAAAATGCCTATTCTGGAGCTTGTGACCACAGCTGCAGAACTTACCTGCTCCTCCAGGAATTGTTGAATATCTTTGGTAGATACGTGTGGTGATGCACTCTTTTAAGACCTTCAAGGTACATGGCAGCTGTAGTATATATAAAAAGTCTAGAGCAGTGAATTGATGGTGTGGAGAGCAACAGCTCTACATGCTTTGGAATAGATTAGCTTTTAAAAGTTAATAATAACTTTTGGTTAATGAACAGTTAACTTTGCAGTACCTTTTAGGTATGGCTTCATGGTTGTTCTGTTTTGATTTTAACCAGTGTATGCATGTACTGAAGCAGGTTTTCAGAAGTTTCTGCTCTTCTTGGCCTTCTCAGACAACCAGTGCTATTGTGTGCCTGAAACAGACCTTCTTGCTAGTCCTGTTGAATTAAATCCTGGATTTATTTACCGCCACAGATTTGGGGAGAGAAGAAAGAGAGGAGGGTGGTATTTGAAATGGAAAAGAAAACTAGTTTGTCTTTGCTGGATGTGCCTTCTGAAATGTAATCCCGTCTTGTGGCCACTTGGAGTTTTTCCCATAAAAAGGATCCTTTTCTCTGTTTAAGAATTTGAAGGGAGTCTGTCTTTGAAAATGGCTGATCTCAACATTTCTAGACAGCAAGTAAAGTTGCAGTAGCTATAAACCAGTCCTTGAAGGAGGTGCAATAGGATGCAAAATCAAGGTATTATTTTGTTAAGGGGTGGAGTGGAGGAATGAAGAACATGATATGCCAAGCAGGTGGATAGCCTGTATTTAAAATTAGGAAACAGCCTGGTTCAGATTCCTCACCCATCTCTTAAAAAAAAAAAAAAAAAAAGTGCCAATTTGCCAAATAATAGAACTATATCCAGGTTTTTATATATGGGCCTAATAGCTGTATAAAGGTCCAATTAGTTCTCAGCTCAAGCTTGGTAGCTGGTAACATGAGGGGAAAAAGTGCAGTATGTCTCTTACTTTTCTTGAAATAGAATCATAAAAGTAAAAGGGAGGAAGGGGCTTTACTTTTGCATTTCCTCAC